TTAAATCCTCTGGAGGATGGAGCTGGAGAAAGGCAAAAGTTGTTACTAACACTGCTCTTATTTTTATACAACCAATCTCCCTCCATGTTCCGGCTGTGCATAGAAGGTGGTAACACCTTGCTGACGTGTTTAGGATGGTACTTAAAACACCCATGTTTAGAAGGAAAACAATGCTCAGAGGGGCTTTTTTATTTTCATAGAGGACAAAGTTGATGTCAGCGGTGAGGGCTCCATCCTGGCCACCCCACGGATCCATTCAAACCCAGAGAAGCTGAAAGAAGCAAAAGTGAATGGTGAGTGAATCGTAGAAATACTGGTGGGAAGCAGCCTCTGGAGGCCTCCGCACCAGCCTCCCACATGGAGCCAATTATTGCCGGCACTAGATCAGGCTGGTCGAGGTTTTGTCTAGCCAAGCCTCAGGCATCTCCTTTGGGACTTGAAAGTCTGGGCATGGCCCAAAGCACCTTGCCGAGTGTCTCACAGATTTTCTGGGGTGACAGCAGGAACTGAGCCTGGGTCTTTAGCCACCCGTGCCGTGGGACCTTCATGCTGGATGGCTCCTCCCACATGGAGCCAATTATTGCCGGCACTAGATCAGGCTGGTCGAGGTTTTGTCGAGTCCTTTGGGACTTGAAAGTCTGGGCATGGCCCAAAGCACCTTGCCGAGTGTCTCACAGATTTTCTGGGGTGACAGCAGGAACTGAGCCTGGGTCTTTAGCCACCCGTGCCGTGGGACCTTCATGCTGGGTGGCTGTGCTGCGATCACAATTGTGTGGCCTCACATCCACCAGCCGAACCAGGTTCTGGATTAGCAGATGGAGGACAGTATCTGTAAGAGAGAGCTTGGTGTGATGTTATTTCCCCCTGTGACTAGTCAGGTTTTGGCTACCAGGAGGCACCGTGTTCAAGGGGTAGAGAAAGGAAAACCAGCTTGTCCATGAAGTGTCACCTCCATGGGTGGCAGTTTGCCTCAGAGCTCCCTGCTGTCCCAGGCACTGGCTACTCTGGAGAGAAGGGCAGAGGAAGGGGAATAAACTACCCTCCACATCCACTGCAGGTGGGATAGGCAATCAGAGGCTTGAGTGGCAAGAAGCAGAAATTTGAATTAGCCATAGGGAAGATGCTGTAGCAGAGGACAGGGAATGCTAGGAGGGCACAGGATTTCCTTTGCTGGATAGCCTGCTGCCCATGAGCAGGATGAGACAGTGAGTTAATGCTGTGGTAGCACAAAACAGGGACCGGTGTCATCGCAGGGTCCTTCCAGCTCTCCTCCTGCCTCAGAGCTGTAGGTGGCTACAGCTGTGAGTCCTGCCTGGAGGGAATCCCATGAGACTCTCCGCTTATTTGTCTTTCCACATCCAGAAAAAGTTGCTCCTTCTCCTGGCTGTGCTCCCAAAACCAGCGTGACACCAAAGCCTCTGCCAAAGAAGAGGGTGATAAAACCCCTCACAAGGGAGGAAACCAGGTGAGCATGAAGGTGGAAATTGGGTGTGTGGAACTGCTGCTGTCCCTGGCCTTGTTATGCGATCACGTGCAGGGATCCTGCCTTCACACTCATCCCTACAGCACTCTGCGTGTTGGCATTATCAACCTAGAGAAGAAATGTGTGAGCCACAGGTGGTGGATTGGGCCGGACTCCTGAGCACCAGCCCCAACAAGGGCTGTGGGTCACAGAGCTTGGTCCATCCAGTGTTGCAGTGTGACCAAGGGAGGTTTCCAGGGCTGTTTCCTCCTGGCTGATGTTTGTGCTTCCCCGCACACACCAGGGTGGCCACAGTTGCCCTCTGTCCAAGCTGGCCTGAACTGGGGAAGACAGCGGAGATCCCATTATCATTTCTGCGCAGCCTTGAGCAGTTAACGTGAGGTGCCACACAGTGTTTCACTTCCATCGTTGTGAGCGTGGAGCTGGGTGGTGAGCTCTTCTCTGGCAGTCCTTCCAGCACTGGCCCATAGGGCTGGGAGAAGGTCTGGCGCCTGCATTGATTGCTCCAGCTCCATCAGCAGGAGCTGCATATCAGTTGGTCTCTTGTCAGTGCATGCCTCTCAGTTGTCAGTCTGTCCATCTCTCTTTATGCCTCTGTGTGTGTGTGGCAGGGACCTTTCACACATCCCTCAGCAGAGAATTGAGTGCAAAGCAGCGAAGAACATGACAAGGAAACAATGGAAAGGTAATGTCCAGGGCTTCCCCCCTGGGAGGCATGTTGCCAGCATGGCCAGGAGTGGTTTGACCTTTAGCTTGCTCCTGCGGCATTGCATGATCCTCCTGAGACAAGAACCAGGAGTACACAAAGGAAGGGACAATCCCCTGTCCCAAGGATTTGGAGACCCAGTGATTGAAGGAAGCATCAATACCCCTTTTTGACAGAGAGATAACTGAAGCTCACAAGTGCAGAGCTAGAACTAAACCAACAACCTCATCCAGCACCTCACATTACATACAGGCTCACCCTTCCTCTGCCCAGATTCCCCAACTCCCCTGCACCCTCGGTAGCTGTTTAGAGGTAGATGCTTTGCCACTGGCAGTAAGAAACAACCTGCCCCAACCCCAGTCCCAAATCTCCAGTGGTTATAGTTCATTGTTTCCAAACAAATATAATATAGGCAGTGCCTCCCTCTGGCCCGTTTAACCCGCTGTCCTCTCCCTGCCTGCAGCATTCTCCGATGCTTTCAACTCATTCCCCAAAGACCCGGACAGCAATATTAAACTACACAGCCTGGAGATGACCGCTAAGCAGCTGGGGATTAGCTTAACCAGTCAAGAGGCGTACAATGAGCTGGTGTGTGCAGATGCCAACAGTGAGTGCACCAGACCACACGTTACTCCCCTGTGGGTTGTTCCGAGCCAATTTCTGGGTATGCAAAGCAATCCTCCTCCACGTGCCTTCCCAGCCCGGGGCAATACTGTACCAAAATGTCTCCTGAGCCAGAGGCTGTACTTGGCCTGCTGGGGTTTAGCACTTACCAGCAGCTATCCTTCATGAATATGTCACGCTCTTTGGACCTCTTTATGCATGCTGAAGCACCGAGTTCCACAGCCCAGTTACATGTGAAAGCTTTAACAGCATTCCTCCTACCCTTAGATTTTAGTAGTAAGTCTTTCTGCAGCGCCAGCTCTGAGCTGCTTGCCCCAGCATTTCAATTACAGCAAAAAACTGCCCTGCTAACGGAGGTGCCACTTGCCTGCAGGAGACAGGATGGTGGATTTCTCTGACTTTCTGGACATCATTACTGACAAGAAGTGTTTCGCCCAGACTATATGTAAGTAAGACACATTCTACTCCAGCAAAAGCCTCGCTTATCCAGAGATATCCGAATTTATCTGATGCTCAGACTAATTGGTACTGAGCAAGAAATCAGCATCTGGGACCCAAAGAAACAAAGGCCGCTCTACTCAGACAAGACAGCAATAGCTCGATGGGCCATGGCGGGCCAGCTCAGGGTTAGCTCTGCCCCCAGGCCCAGAGGCAGCGAAAAGCAGTGGGGAAGGACCATCGCTGTGCTTGCCAGTCTCAGGGACAGGGGCAGGAATCCAGCATTTGGTCCAGACGCTTCTGGCTACAAGAGCAGAGGCCAAACTCTTCTCTTACAAGATGGGACACAGAAGGAATAGAAGACCTTACCTTCTTTGGCTAATGATAAGCTGCAGGGAATTGTCCTCCCTGCTAGATACCTAACCAGCACTCAGCAGAAAATGGCTGAGTCCAGACTTGTCCAGATCTTCCTGGGGGCTCCTGGGATCTCTGCTCCCTTTGAGCTCTGTGAAGGTAAGACAAGGCTCAGTCATGGCTCTGATCACTCTCCTCCTCTCCAGCCCCTGGGAAAAATGACTCGGGCAGCTTCGATTCTGTTGATGCCAGAGGAATCCTCCTCTTCAAAGCCTTCTTGAAGCTGCTGGAGTTGGCAGCTCTGCCCCGGAGATGTCTGTTTCAGATTATCAGGTGAGCTGCCTTAGCTCTGCGAGACAGAGAAGGGAGGTCCCCATTCTACTGGGACATTTGTGCCTTGTATAACAAAATATACAGAACACAGGGGCCCCAAGACTAGATTTCCAGAAATATTTCATATCTAGCTGGACATCCGAAAGCACCTGCATAGCTCAGGCACCTGTTCTGCAAAGACACTGTCGTAAGTGTCACCATGTGTCTATCACACACCTTTGCAGTTTAAATACCCTCATGTACCCAGTCTTTCCAGATATGCCGGTGCACAGCAGCCACCGCTGCGTGGGGCCTTGGGCTGTGTTTCACAGGACAATGACTTTTGCCTTCTAGTTACTACCAGCAGAAGCTTAGGGACTGCACTGGCCAAAAAGTCTGGATGGATGGTGACTTCCTCAAGCGTCGCAGAAAGAAGCCCCATAAAATTTGGAAAAAGCCAGTTTACCCTACGCCTTCCTTTGTTAGCGCTGCCCACGTCTCAGCCACGAACAGAAGGGAGGCAGCGGCTTACGTGGAGCACCTCAAAGGTAAGGCTAGCACGCTGTCACTCCCACTCTCCAAAATGGAAGTCACTGGAGCTACGAGGGCGACAACCCAGCTGGAGCATTTGCCACAGCTTCTTCTGTTCCCTCCTGGCACGTGGCCTTCTCCGAAGGTGGAGGATCGGTGCTTCTGGTATTGAGTTCAGTAAGGCTCGGGGTCAGCCCTGCGTTAGCAAACTTTTCCCAAGGTAATTCCTAAGAGGATCACAGAAAACGGAGCTGGAGGAGCAGACCTTGTGAGTCCATCCAGCCCAAAACCCTCCCAGGGCAAGAAGCAAAATCAAACAGTTGTAGCGGATTCTGCTCCAGAGGATCTTAGGGCGAAGGAATTGCTCTCCAGAGGCGTGTGTGCAAGGTGGCTGCCTTAAATGCTTAAAAAGTGTCTAGCGGTGGGTGAGCTCTGGGTTACCCCAACCCCTACAGGCACCTCTACGCCGTGGGGATTGCTGCAGATCAAGCACCTCAACACCGTAGCCAAGGCACTGGTGCCTTTGTGGATCTACGCCTGCTAATGCTGGGCATGCCGGATGGCAGCTCCCGTGACTCATGGTTCAGAGTGAGGAATTCAGGACCGACCGAGTCCTTCCCTGGCGAGAGGAGGCACACCAAGAGGCAGCTGACTGTTGGCTGCACAGTCAGTGACTCTGGTTCCTATTTCCCTTTGCCCCGTTCAGGCAGCCCTTACGCCCAGGTACCCATCTTCCCGCTGGTTTCTAAACAAGACGCGACGACACTGGCAAAACCAAAAAAAGGCTTGCGGAAGGTGGCGAGGCAGAGGAATGAGCCAACCGCTTCGTTTGAGAGCCACTTCTTCCGTGAGAGAAACCGGGTGCGGGAGGTGAGAGACAAGCAATGCTTCAGCTGTGTAACAGGGTCAAAGGAGGTGCGGGGACAAGCCTGAAAACCCGTCCTTTGTTTAATCAGGCAGCTGCTCTGAAGCCTCCTGCTCACCACGGAAAGCAGAGACGCTCCCCTGACGTCAACGCTGAGTGCCCGAACGCACCACGTCATCCGACAACAGACAGCCCGGGCAAGACACAAGCGCAAGTGAGTGTGAAATGTAGAGGGAAGATGTTACCCTTTGTCGTACAGGACTGCAATTAGAGCAGAACTAAGTGTGCCTGGTCACTCATGTAACCTATACATTAACTGTCTGGTGAACGCTTTAACTAGACACAGGTATTAAAGAGCAATTTTGTCATAAGTGCAAGGAAAAATTAAACCAGAGGTATAATAATAGCTTAGTTGTTTATTACTGTTAATCGTCAGCACGAATTGGTTATAACCTGCCAGCACCGCATCGTAACGTCACTGAGGTGCTTTTTGTCTTGTATGTATGCACGTGGCACATGCTCCCACCTGGGCAAAGCTGTGTGATGTCCCCCCCCCACGGTCCTCTGCCTCCTCTTTCAACTTCCCTCCCTCCTCCCAGAAGGCGCAGGCAGCCAAGCGGTACGGGCACAGCCTGGCCCTCCGCCAGCGCCGCAGCCTGCTGAAGCTGCGGCGGAAGATCGGCAGGGGCCAGATCGGCCCGCAGACGGGCAGCGAGCGCTTCCACCGCACCTTCTGCGCCTACTCCCGGTCGTGGAACGCCCGGCGGGAGCTGGTGACGGCCGCCGACCTCCGCAGACTGGACCGCCGGCTCGCGGGCGGCGGAGGCAGGGAACGGCGATGGACACCAGGCGAGGGCGGTGCCGGTGCCTGCCGGCTCTGCCGCAGGCGGCGCGGC